TTTTTTAAATAACTGTTTGTTTGTTTGTTTTAACCCACCACTGGACCAGCTTTATCCTAAAGCCTCATTACCTCAGGTCTACTCCAGCTGCATTACCTAAGTTGAGGAATGGGTTTCCTGGTATACACTGAGTTGTTAGCTTTTTGTTATATGAAATATCTTGAGAATTTCATATGTGAATGCTGTGTTTACATTACTTCCTCTCCTTTCTCCAAGTTCTGTGTCCCTCCACTTTTATCCCTCCACTCTTATTCTCTTCTTTCTTTTTCCTCCTCCTTCTTTTTAGATAAGTTCTCATTATGTAAATCAGTCTGGCCTCCAACTCATAGAGATCCACCTGGCTCTGCCTTCAAAGTGCTGGGGTCAAAGCTGTGTGCCCATCCCCAGCTTATTCATTATTTATTGCTGTATAAATTTATCAGTGTGACCTGCTGGACTTCTTTTCGTGTTAGTCCTACATTTGTAAGAGCTGACACTTGGGAGTGGATAACCTATTGGGCTCATGCCTGGAGAAGACTTCCAGTTCTTTGTCTAGGGATGGGACCTTGTGAAATTTCCCCCATTCAGATAGGTGTGTCAACTGGTGTTGCCATTTTTCAGGTCTTACTTAAGCAGCCATACTGTTGAGATTTTATGTGTGCAGCTTTCTGTCATATACAAAAGGAGAAAACTCCTTCTAAACAGGTATCTGCTTGCATCTCAAGTTCAAGGGCTAGGACGGGATCACTAGCCTTCTCCTCACTCAGTGGAAACCATAAAACTGAGATATCTCTTCTTGACTTAAACCTGTCCCAAGTTATAAGGTCAGGATGAAACACGGAATTTGGAAGGCAGGTCATTTTCCTTGAGGAGTGCCTTCAAGGTTCACAGGAAGGGACTGGAGCCCAGAGACCCCAAGCCAAAGCCCTCATCCAAAGCCACAGATGTCTTCAGACTCCAGCAGAGCCCAGTAAAGCCTCTTCACCCAGGATGAATGTCCATCTCCAAGATTACATAGAGTCATAAAGGGCAGGAGCATTATCCTCAGAGCCTAAATCTTGGCCAGAGTTATGGCCAGAGTTGGAGGGGCAAGGCCTTTCCAACAGATCTCTCCAGTGCCTCTCACAGGGCCTGCCTTATCGTTTTGTAGGAAAGTGGATAGGGAAAAGCACTTTGAGGTACTCACCAGAGCCCAACAAACAGTATCTAGCTTCCTAGTGCCTGGCCAAACTGACTCATTACTTAGGGCTGACCTCATGCTTCTGGAAAATTCAGCCCACCCACAGTCTGTGTGTAGCCTCTCATGTCTCAGTTCTGCTACCAGCAAAAAAAAAAAAAAAAAAAAAAAAAAAAAAACAAAAAAAACAGGGTGGGTGTGGAAATGAATATAGCACAAACAGCCCCTGCCCCTGCCCACCAGAGCCTTCTCTCTAGCCAGCAAGCACACTTGAGAAGGAAGCTGAGAAGTCCATGCCCACCTGTCTACTCCAACAGATGAGTATATTTATGAAAAACAAGACAAAACAAAAACTTTCACACTATGGCTATCTGCCTGCTGCATTCCAGACTCTCAGAAAGTAAACAACAGGTAGTTCAACTCCATTGGAGGTGCTGGAAGACATCTGTCATCCATTCTTCTGCCTCAGAGAAAGCTGGAGAATTCAAGGTCAGGCTGAGGCCTATGTTCAATGACAAAAAGTAAATGTTTATTTAGCCCAGACCTGGAGCAGCCACCTACTCTGTTGTTTCCAAAGTCACTAATACCAACATCTGCCTCTGTGTAGAAGCCATGTATATACTGAAGAACAATTAAAACTCCTTCATGACCTTTTTCTCCATTCTAAGACTTTTTTCTGGGTCAGACACCTTCTTACACTCGAATAAGGGTGGCAACGGGAAGCAGCAACACATGTAGTTGAGTTCCACCATGTTTTTCTACACATGCTCCTTCTACAGCCTTCCAAGATCGCTCTGTACCATCATCCATGCCTTCAGGCTGCAAGAACTGGACAAGGCATTTGCTCTTCATGTAAACATTTTATTCTTGGGCTGTCAAGATGGATCAAGCAGGTAAAAGCACTTGCTATGCAAGCCCTGACAGTCTAAATTCAATCCCTGAAACCCACTCAAAGGTGGAAGACCTCACTACTGAAAGTTGTCTCCTGACTTCCCCACTAGTGCTGCAGTGTGTGTCATAGACAGACAGACAGACACACACACACACACACACACTAGCAGGGGGCAGAGTGAGCATGCAAAAACACAATAAAGCTTTTTTTTAAAGCTTTATTCTCACTCAACCCAGGGGCTAAGAAACATGTGGAGGTGGGCAAAAGGCCTATTTCTTGTTTGCCTTCTTCGTTTTAGCCTGACTGAGAGAAAGTAGACAGCAAGCAGGTTTAAATTTTGCTTGCTGAAGTGTTTCTCAGAATAGGACCCCCTTTCTTCAGAGCTTGAGAACTTTGCATACACTGAAAATATGCAGGCATATTTCTATTCCATTTTTAGAATAATAATCTTCATCCCACTCTGGAGACACCATGCTTGGGGTAAGAGCTCAAGTTCAGTGTCAGCAAACCTGCCAGGCTTCTGTGGGAGACCCAAGCATGCCATCTCTTCTGTTTATCTTTGGTGTGTGTGTTCGGGGGGAATAAAGGGTGAATTTGAATCTGAGTACCAACACAAACTTTGAATAGGAACTATATTGCCAAGTGCAGGGTATTTCTCCCCAGCTTCAGGTCTCTACCAAACGATGGAAACTAGGACATGAGAAGAGAATGTAACATATCTTCAGGCTCCAACTTGACAATTGATAAGAACAGATATCCTTTTCTTGCTTCTGGTTCTGCCCCTGTACCTCCAGTGGGTTCTGTACAGCTCCCTGCAAGCAAAGCCACATCATTCCAATTCACTTCTTTTCAACTTCCCACTGATGCAAACACCAATTTAGCCTGAAAAACCTGTGCTGTGGTGTTTGGGAGGTCACCTGGCTAAAAGTAATGGGGCCTGAGTACTAATTCTGACTGTCACATAGTCACTGTTCGGCCTTCAAGAATTTCCATCTCTTCTTGGGGTCTCATTTTCTTCACCTGTAAAGATAAGATTAGATGATCCCAAAGATTCTTCTCACAAATGACCTACTTCACTCATACATTCATTCTAATATTAATGCAAGCCAGAACCAAGTTCTGAGCATCCTGTGCCAGGCACAGCAAGGCATGTGGCTGTGTCCTACTACCTAAAGAAAGGTAATTAGCTATCTATGAGCCACATATGAACAGGAGGGTCTTGGTCCTCTCTATGCATGGTCTTCAATCGATGCATCAGTCTCTGAAGGACTGCTTGGGTCCTGTTTATGTTTGTTTGTTTGTTTGTTTGTTTGTTTGTTTTGGCTTTGTTGATTTCCTTGTGGGCTCAGTCTCCATGTGGGTCTCCTTTTCCCTAATAAGAAGAGAAGAGACACTCTCTGACATGAATTCAGTTGCCTGCTCTCTCATCACTTCTCTCCTGTGGGGAGACCTTGCCAGGCCACAGAAGAAGAGCATCCAGACAGTCCTGATGGGGCCTGAATGGCTAAGATCAGACAGTAGGGGAAGAGGACCTCCTCTATCAGTGGACTAGGGAAGGGAGATAGGGGAGGAAGAGAGAGGAAGGGTGGGACCAGGAGATGAGGGAGGGGGCTACAACCAGGATACAAAGTAAACAAATTGTAAATAATAATAATAAAAGTAATAAGAAGAAGAGCTGACAGCATTAGGGATTCTATCACTTTCTATTGTCACTGCACTGTTCACAGTGGGAAGAAAAATCAACTTTCTCCCCTGCTCAGCCAACAAAGAGAAGGCATTTTCCTCATTCTAGTCACACCGGAAATGCTCTCAGTGCCTTTTTCTAAATTTGATTTTTTTTTTTTTTTTGAGGTTGTTACTGTTTGTCATTTTAAGCCTCTTTTCCAGGGAAGGACAAGACTACCTCTTTTCCCTCCTAATAAGTCCTTTATTCTCCAGAGTTTTACCAAAAAGAGAAAATGCTGTCCATTTCAAAACACTGAATATACTATTTTTCAATTTGCATTGACTCTATATTTCAATATACAAGCCCCCAAAAGAGGAGCTTTATGAAAACTGTCCCGGAGAAAGAATTTCTGGCCCAGTCCTCAACACCACCTAAGCAGCCCACCGCTCCTAGTTTCTGAACACCTGTTGGACCTGCTGAGGCTCTCCACTACCGTGGTTCCTCCCTGCGTGTCAAGGTTTGTGGGAGGATTTCACCCTGTGGAAAGAGCTCCAGAGCGCTGTGCCAACCGAAGTCATTGGGCTGAGCTGGGCTTTGATGGGATTTAGCGCATAGCCCTGTCTCCCTCAGCTTTTTTTTGCTGATGATGCTGCAAGGGAAAGTGGTGGTCCCAGACCGTAAACCCCAGTGCAGCCAAAGCTGCAGGCGGATGCATGCATCCCAGTGGTTCCAATGCGACCTGCGCCCACGAGATCCTCACTACCCCGCAGAGAGAAGATCAAGCTGGGTCACCGGTTTAGGTCCCCACGCTCGAGCTCAGCCATCGCCTCACCCAGCCCTTCTCTGCACAGCTACCCACTCCCCGAAGCACCGCCCGCCCCCTCCTCGGCTGCCACCAATCAGCGTCCCGAGCGGCGCCCGCGGAGTCAGGTCGGCAGCCAGTGAGCACCAGAGCCCGAGGCGGCGCCTCACCGCCCCCTCGCAGGATGCCAGGCGCCCCGCAGCTGGCGAGGTGGGCGAAGCGCGCGGGGCGCTGGAGGAGCGCGGGGCTGGAGAGAAGCGCGCGCCCGCCTCCGCTCCGCCTCCGTCCGGGGGCGCGGGCGCAGTGGCCCCGGCGGAGGATCGCAGGGGGCAGGGCCGAGACAGCGAGGAGGGGCGCGGGGGAAGTGGGAGCGATAAAAGGAGGCTAGGCTGCCCCACCCCGCGACAGGCCGGCAGGCAGGCTCTTGCGTCCCTTCCTCCGGCCTGTGCCGGCGGCGGCGAGACGCGCGGCCCGCTGCCGGCCCATGGAGGCTTTCCCTTGGGCGCCAGGCTCTCCCCGCCGCGCCCGCGCCTCTGCGCCTATGGCGCTCGTGCCCAGCGCCCGCTACGTGAGCGCCCCGGGCCCGGTGCACCCGCAGCCCTTCAGCTCCTGGAACGACTACCTGGGGCTAGCCACTCTCATTACCAGGGCTGGCGACCGCGGCTCCCCGCACGAGGGGCCCGGGCCCACAGCGGCGGTACCCACGCTAGGGCCGCCCGAGGACGACGAGGGTGACGATGGCGAAGAGCCGAGGGCCGGGGACCGCTACCTGGGTGGCGCGTTGGAATTGCGCGCGCTAGAGCTGTGCGTCGGCCCGGGTGAGGCCGGGCTGCTGGAGGAGCGCTTCGCTGAGCTGAACCCTTTCGCAGGGCGCGCCGCCGCGGTGCTGCTGGGCTGCGCGCCCTCCACCTCCACTGCCTCCACGGCCGAAGTGGTGCCGCGCGAGGAGCCGAGCCCTATGTGGGCGGCCGAGCCTCGTCTGCACGCGGCATCCGGGGCGGCTGTCGGGCGTTTGCTGAAACCGGAGCTGCAGGTGTGTGTGTTCTGTCGGAACAACAAGGAGGCGGTGGCGCTCTACACCACACACATCCTCAAGGGCCCCGACGGCCGGGTGCTGTGCCCGGTCCTGCGTCGCTACACGTGCCCCCTGTGCGGCGCCAGTGGCGACAACGCACACACCATCAAGTATTGCCCGCTCTCCAAAGTGCCACCGCCCGCCATCCGACCGCCGCCGCGCAGCACCAGGGACAGCCTGCCCAGCAAGAAGCTGCGTTAGGAGCGAGCTGCAACTTGAAGCTTCGGACACTTGAAGGCATGGTCGCGCTCCTCTCGCCTGTGAAATGGTCTTGGTTTTACTGAAACCGGAGGACCCGCAGCACTTTCCTAAGGAGTGGTCGTGTCTTGTCTCTAGTTTCTAAAGCGCACAGCCAAAACGGTGAGGGCTGAGCGGATGTGCCACTGGCTGAAGTGTGGTGAATGAGGCGCTGTTTACTGTATACGTCGGCCCATTTTCGGCGCGCATCAGTATGAAATTGTCTCTGATCTTGGATGTTTCGTTTTATGGAGGCACTTTATTAGGTCTAGAGTATTTTTAATAGCCTCTGAACTGAGTGCAAAACTACAATTTTATGGAATGTCGGCAAAAATACTATTTTATTGTCTGATGCAATTATTTAGTTTATCCTTTTTCTGATTGCAGGTAAAGCAATTTAGTACACTTCCAGTATTGAGAGGGTGTTCCTCCTCGTGGGTTGTTTGTCCTAGATGGGAGACGTGAAGGCACAAACTGTAGCAGGTAGAATACAGTTCGTATCCTTTTTATGTATCAGGTAATTCTACTGAATTAGCAAGTAGATCTCCCGCCCTTAAAATTGTGCCAAGTCTTAATCATATTGTGTACATGTTTGGAAATGGTGCTGTGTAAGAGATGTGTATTTATAGTGACCGTATGTGAATCCATTAATCTCCACTGTAATACCTACTTAGCATTTTCTCTATGCACCATCCTGACTGTCCAACTCTTTATAAATGTCTGATGCTAAGGTCAGAAAGGAGGAAACCTAAGGGAGCAATGTTAACCCTCCTTGATTGCTCAATTTCAGGGTTCCTCAATAGAAAATGGGAAACTATAGATAATGCAATAACCCGAGTTCTGGAAGGTTCCGCTCTGGGCTGCCTGCCTCCAGATATACAGGCATACCATTTCAAGGCTCTAATAATTGGTGTTGGATACAAGTGTCATAACCTCCTTGGTGGTGGGGTTCCACACTTGGTGGAAGACTCCTGTCTGCTTCCAGAACCCCAAAAGATCTTCGTTCAGAATTTACTAACCCCTTACTTCCAGTACTCCTGTAAATCTATCACAGTGTATGCTGGATTATGGCACAAAGCTACCTACCATCAAGACAGAACAAGGCAAAGATGGAGGTGAACTAAACAGGCACCAACACCAAGTATATAAAGCTTCCAATAGTCGGATTTGGTTAGTAATACAAGACTGTCTTTCATATTAAGCAGCAACTTCACAACAAACTTATTTTCTGTGTAAAAGAGGCTGATGTAAAAATACTGGATAGCTGTGAGCCCTATTGGTAAGAGGTGCTTCATACCATAGACAAGGAGATGGGGTTGGTAGAAAGACATTATTAGCAACGAAGAAAACTATCCATTAGTTATAGACCCACATCCACTGGGCCTAAGCCTAAACTTGAGTAATTTAATAAAACATGTAGTTCCTTGTTATTTTACTAGAAAACATAACATTTGTTTTGGGTGAAGTTCTTCAACAAATTCATATCCTCTAACTTAACTGCCCTGCCTTTTCAAAGAGGTAGTCTCATTGCTTTTGTAATCCCATCAGATACTTTCCAAGGCATGTATGAATGCCAGTACATAAATACATGAGCTGAACCAATGAGTGCATGAACCTAATGCCAACTTTTATTTTCTGACATCTTACCAGGACCAGGAATGTTGAGATGGGCATTCCTGTTCCCTGGAATGGAGGGCTCCATTGAGACAGCTGTCAGAGTACATCTAAGCGCAAGGACCAGAGTTCGATCTCCAGCACCCACAGGAAAATATGGGCATGTGGTGTTTTTAATCCCAGTGCTATTGAGACAGAGGCCAGCTTTGCTACATGGGTGACCTCCACATCTGAGTGAAAACTCAATGTCAAAATGTTAGGTGGGCTCATGAAGACTATCATCTGAGGCTGACCACATTTATCTGTAGATTTCGGTAACTTTTTAAAGCCAAAAGTAGCTGTGTTCAAACCACTGGAGAGGCAGAACCCTTTGCCTGGGGCTCACTAGCCAGGCAGTCGAACTCCCAGTTTAGAGAACTCCGGATTCAAAGAAACACTGTTTGAGGTAGAATGTGATTGAGGGCACCAACTGACCTCTGGCCCCCACATACTTGCACCCAGAACATGTCCACACAAAAACGTATCCCATACCACATGTTCTTCACCTGATGCCAAGTCTGTTTCCCAGCTAACAAATACTGAAAATCTACAATATAAACAACAACAAAAAAACATTTCAGGTTTTTCTAGAGAAAATACATAGGCTGCCTCCTCTCAAAAAATTCCTAGGGCCAGACTTTGTATGTGCCTTTAATCCTGGCACTCAGGAGGCAGAAGAAAGCCAAGTAATCCTTGGAATTATACTTTATAAAGGTTTTTGCAAAAATGTTTACAGTAGAGACCCAAGTTTAGGGCCATACAGCTCAGTGGTAGAGCACTTGCCTAGACAGAGTGCATAAAACCCTAGGATCAATACCCATTATTATAGAGAAATTAAACTTAAAACCCAAAGTTTAATTCTACAAGTGTGATACGGTTGGCTTCTGCCTAAGAGTGCACTGTGAATCTGGCTAGACCACAAAAATGGTACAGCCCTGTATCAGCTCCACCATGGGCAGAGGCACAAGTTATGCTGTGCTTTAGTCTGCTTTTATTTATCCAAACTTGTTAATTCTAATGGCCTTTTACTTTTTTGTACTTTATTTTTTTCTAAAGTCCTTTTCAGAAGTTAAATAGCTTTGATTAGAACTTTTGTCAGATATATTAAACCAAAACGATGTATCAGGAATGTGTCTATTTCAGGTTAATTTTGTTGTCCAAGTTTCTTGATAAGAACATTCTAATAGCTCTGTTCTATAAATAGAACAGCCAAAGAGTCTTTGGGAAAAACACAACAGAAGTGCAGTTTTCAAGACTGGGTCTCACCAAACAAAGCGGACATGGAAATTCAGTACCTTTCTGCCTCACCCAGCAAAGTTCTGGGATTACAGCACCATGTGGTGCTGGTAGTTCTTGACTAACAATCCCATACATAGTGTTTTTGACACCCACCTCCACCCCTGGTTGGCACTCTACAGACAAGTACGACGGACATCTGAAGGTTCTCTCTCCCTTCAAGCACAGCTATAAAAGCTGTAAGACTCCATTCATTCATTCATTCATTCATTCATTTATTTATTTATTTATTTATTTTTACAACTGCAGAAGCCACAGGGCTCACCTGGCACATCCAGACTAATCCGCCTTCCTCTAACCTGCTAAATGTTGGTGGGGTGGTGGTGGAGGGTGGACTGTGTAATGGGAACCCATAAGCTGGACCACAAAGCAACATCATCAGATCTATCTGTATCTACCACATCAGTGTCTGGCTCACTAGTAAGCCCATACCTAGCAGGCCATTGCCCCAATAAACCTGTAAGTACTGTAAATCTGCAAGTACTTCTACTTGTTTTGATTGCAACAAGTTCCATGTGTGAAATCCCAGTCTTTGGTAACATCAGACAGAAGCACCTGATTAAGCAGGAAAGCATCAGTACTATTTCTTCTGGCCTAACAGCTCTAACAGTAGAAACTTTTTAAACCACTGTTTAGTAATTTATAAGTCTATACCTTTTAAGTTTGTGACTATTGTTTTTCTTCTAATTCAAGATGAAACCTAAGCTGGTAACCCCTGCACATCACCTCACAGAACATTTCAAGGAAATGACAGTGTTCCATGAACAAGGGCATTCACAAACTTGCTAGCTGCCATTTGCTTCTTGTGTTACTGTTAGGTTATACTAACAATGACAAATTTCAACAGCACTGATTAAAAATTCACAGGAACTCAATGTATAGAATATAGCACCATTAACAAATCAACACTAACACCAATTATGTAAGTATTTTATTTATCACCGAAGAAAAAACACAGCAGCAAGTTCTGTGTTGGCTTCAATAAGACCATGGTTACTCTAACACAGCTACTACACTCCAAAATTGAAGTCAACACAGTCATCACTACAAATTACTTGTTGAAATAATCTATCCTGAAGAAAGAAAATTAGGAAAAAGAATTTAAACAATTCCTCCAAACCACACATTTATAAATATTGTCATATTTAAAATGCTTAAAAGGCATGAATTAGTGGAAAAGCAGTTTTCTTTTGGCAACAGAAAAAAAACAAACCCACAACAGGTTACCAAATGCTCTAGGAATCCAAAGCTGTGCTGTTCTGGACCTGCACTTGAGCAGCACCATCATGATGATGACTACAAAAGGCTTTATACTCACCTCTCTCAAGTAAAGTCTACGAAAACCCCATTACAACCAGTGTTTGCAATGCCTACACACTGATCAGAAGCTACAAACTGCCTAAATGTAGTTAACAGAAAATACCTAACAAGGTATGTTCCCATTACTATTCATGGGAAAGCTGTCAGATCCATTGGCTTAATGGGTTTTCAAATGTTTTAGGAGAACCTTACCTTATTCCAAATTAATATCTGATATTTGAAAATCAAAACAAAACAAAAAGATCAATTGTATACCAAGATATGGTGTTAACACCTGAAGGGTTCACATTTTTATTTTTTAGGTTTTTTTTAAACAAATGATTGATGAAATAATGCAACACCTTAAATTCCAGAAAATGGCATGGTTTTCCAACCTCCTGTGAATACAGTGCATGATCAAACTATTATATATGATTAATACAAGTTCATGCTTTTTGTGTTATGGTGAGACAACATTAAAGAATTTAGACTGGTTGAAGCACAGGAATATCCTTGAATGTGATCAAACCTATTTAAGAAGCCACAAGTTTCTTGTCTTGGGACTTAGCGCCGTACTGTGGTCCATCCATCTTCATCAGTTTCATTCTTAGTACGACGAAGGGACTCCCTATCTTTCTCAGCTCTCCAGGATGCTTTCTCTTTCTCACCTTCTCGTTCTCTCTCTCTTTCTCTATCTCTTGAAATAGCTGTGGGAGGAACACGACGAGGTAGATCCCGTTCTTCAGTCCGGTCATCTTTCCTGTCATCTGCACGTCTCCAAGAGCTTGCTAGAAAAGTTTAAAAATTTTCAAGTGTATTTTATTGGTTAAAAATAAACAGAAGCGAAGCCTACCTCAAACTACTTGGAAAAATCAACAATGCACAGTAAAAGACCCATATTTTAATTATTCTGTGTCATATCTGACAAAAGTATTTAAATAAAAACTTGCAGACATAACAAAAAATTGCAAACAAACAGAAATCCTTGGTCATGGAAATATCTTAAGCACAGAAAGAACTGTTAAATGAAAGGATTTCTGATTCCTGAAGTACTTTTATCAAATGAGTTATAAAATGTGAGATTTTAAGTTATACTTTTAGTACTCTTCTGATCCTGCTGAGCAAGTTGTTAAAAGCATATGAGTAAGTAAGAACAATGGACACTTTATAACTTCACTAAAAGAGCTTTAAAAAAATGTTTGTGTATATGTGAGTTTGTGGAGGTCAGAAGACAACTTTTAGGGAGTGAGTTCTTTTTTTTCTACCATGTGGATCCCCAGGATTGAAATCAAGTTGTCAGGCAAGAAAAGCCCTTCCTCACTGAATATCTCACCAGCCCTGATTCTCCACATTTATACTTGTGTTCATCCACTAGGACCTTATATAATAATGCTTCTCCATTTTTACTAATATTAATTCCTGCTGCTTATCATTTAGTCTGTTGCTACATGTACCTTAGAGATGAGCTTACATCGTAATCTGACAACTAAGTACATTGAATTTACTCTTATTATCAATGTTCGCATTAATTTGAAAGACAATTATATAAGGCCCTGTCACGACACAAAATAGTTCTCCAACATTCCAACAGCCATATGTCTCTACCTTCCTCTCGCTCTGATCTGAGGGGAGGTCCTCTCCGGTCTCTATCATCTCTTAAGTCCCTTCTTTCTCTCAGGTCTCTCAGATCACGACGATCATCTCTCTCCCGACGACGGTCATCCCTGTCCCTATCATCACGGCGACTTGAATCTCTCCAGCTTGAAGATTCTTCTGCTGGTCCTCTTCTCCAGCCACCTTCATCCCTGTGGCCATTAAAAGTGACAAACTCAGTTCTCATTCTGACAAAATATGTGGCTAATTATAAACAACACACCAGCTGGGTGGTGACAGCAAACATCATTAATCACACTCTAGAATTTTGAGGCCAGCTCCAGGATGGCCTAGGATAGTTGCTACTTCCCTAAAGATCCTAAAGTAGCACAACCTATATTCCAACAGCTAGTTCACATGCTATAAAGAACTTTTCCTACTAGATTTGCTAGTGGCAAAGCCGTTATAGCAGTGGGAACAAGGTAGGACTTTTAACACTAATAAAAACTGGGTGTACTGTCAACTGACTATAAATCTCAACATAGGTGAGTTGAATAAAAACTGAAGTTCAGGTCAGCCAAAGCTGCACAGAAAGATGCCATCTTTTCAAAAACAAAAAAAAGGATAACTTAAGGACAACTAAGCTGATTCACTGATCTAAAAAGACAGTGCAGTAGACATCTGGACTGCTTTCTTTACCATTTATGCAAACAGCTTAAGGCTCCATGTCTTCTCATTTTCTAGATGGGGAAGGGGGTGTTAATCAATCACACTCTATGTACATCTAATGGTTAAGTGAGGCCAGGGCATTATTTATCAAACATGATTTAGAATGCACAACAGAGTTTAAGAAAAGTCAGTTAACACAGTAGGTCATTTCCAACCTGGGTCTTCTGAAGCGATCCTCCCGGTCTCCATCTCTTTCTCTGTCCCTTTCCCGTTCAAGGTCCTTGTCATTCTCCTCTCGATCTTGGCTCTCTCTATCCTTCTCTTTGTCTCTATCCCATTCACGTTCTTCTGATGGTCTTGATTCTCGAGGTGGACCCCAACTTTCTTCTCTAGCCTTTTCTTTCTCTCTCCATCCACCTATTTTATAAAAAGAAGCAATTTTATTTTTAACATTAACAACTGTATGTTGATGTGGTGCTGAGGATAACACAAGGCCTTATGCATGCTATGCAAATACTTTATCAACTGAGCTTATCCTGTGACTTTAAAGAAGACATCTTAGCATTGATTCATCACCCTAAACAGAAACTGAAGATACCCCCAATCCCATTTTTAAAGAAAGCAATGTATAAAGATGGAGAGATGGCTCAGAGGTAAAGAGCAGTAACTTTTTTTCCAAAGGTTCTCAGTTCAATCTCCAGCGACCACATGGTGGCAACCATCTATAATGAGATCTGGTGCCCTCTTCTGGTATATAGTTATACAGGCAGGCAGAGGACTATGTAAGTAATAAATCTTTTTTTAAACCATGTGTATCTACAAACAGCTAGCCATTAACAATTTTTGAGTTATGTATCTACATAAGCTTAAAACAGTCTGGAAATGATGTTTCATAAAATAAAAAGACTCATTTTTCCTGGTGCGTAGACTCATTATCAGTATAAAATCTGTTCCTATTTTACTACAGACCACAAATTATGAATTCATACCCTGTAACATTTTATCAAAGATTCTCCCCAGGTCTTGTCCTCTGTGATATTCCTCCACCACCCAGTCATAAAACAAGAACAAATGCTTTGATTCTGCCCAGTGTTTCACATGAAGCAGCAAGAAGTCAAAGCAAGCTAAGTTCTCACTGTTGAGAGCATCACAGCTATAAAACTATTCATTGTTGTACCTGACTTTCACATCAACAAGTGCAAAAGTAGACTTAAATCCCATTTTTATTAACTTGCAAAAATCTTGCCGTAAGTCAATTCTCATTACTGCCAGACTCTTGTTTTTTTTTAAAGACAGGGTTTCTCTATGAAGCCTTGGCTGTCCTAGAACTTGCTATGTAGACCACAACTGAACTCAGAAAGATCTGCGGCTGCCTGCAGAGTGCTGAGATTAAAGGTGTGTGCCATTATACATAACATACTTAAAAATATTTGGGCTTTTTGTTTATTTTTTTGGTTTTTCGAGACAGGGTTTCCCTGTGTAGCCCTGGCTGTCCTGGACTTGCTTTGTAGACCAGGCTGGCCTCAAACTCACAGTGCTCTGCCAGCCTCTGCCTCCCAGAGTGCGGAGATTATAGGCATGCACCACCATACCCGGCTGCAAATGTGTTAAAATTATGCCATCACTCAATTCAGGGGGAAAAAGTTGTCTCCGGACACATGTGATGACAGCTCAGGTTGACAGCACTTTGCCTCCCAGGATCAGCCTTTATTATAAAAACTGTCTTCTAAATAAATGTCTATTTATTTAGTACTGTGATTTTTGCTGGTTACTTCACTGTTCAAATGACCCCCAATCATGTTTAACTATCTCCAATATTAAAGGGAAAATACAGTGTTAGACTAACTTTGTTCAAGAATGGTTTACAAAGGACTGCTGGCCTTTAAACAGATGGCAGAATATAAAGGCATGTAACACCTTGTATTTCTTCTAGAATTCCTCACTTTAACTCCTAGCAAGTTTTGTTTTTTTGTTTGTTTGTTTTTGTTTTTTGAGACAAGGTTTCTCTGTGTAGCCTTGGCTGTCCTGGACTTACTCTGTAGACCAGGCTGGCCTCAATCCCAGAGATCTGCCAGCCCTTTGCCTTTGCTAGGATTACAAGTGTATGTGTATGTGTACACCCAAGGAGATAACTTTCTATAGGACACAACCACAATTTACTGAGAATCTACCATACTGTCAACCCCATTTTACATAAGGCATGGAAGTCACTTATCCTAAGGTCACATAGTTAAATAGTGGAATATGGCCAAGGCTAGAAAGAACAAAAAAGTTTGCCACAGAAGCCACACTACTAAAAGAAAAAAAGGTGCTAATTAACTCTGAACTCAAGGACTATTCTGTGTACTACAAAAAGAACTGGAGTGAAGAAAAGGTGGCAGAAATCACTTGTAGGGCAAGAGCTCAAAGGACCCAGACCTAATCAGGGTGGTTGGATTTAAGAACCATCAAAAGGCAGATGAGGAACTGAGGAGTGGCTCAATGGTTAACAGCACACACTGTTCTTATAGTTTAATTTTCTACACCCACATCATATCGTCTTTACAAACGCTTATCTTACACATTTAAGAATAGTTCACAAGAGCATGTGTATTTGGAGAAGGGGAAAAACGGATAAGCATCAGAGTTGGCTAGAAGAACAAAAATGAACTCCTGAATATGATCCCATGAGTGAACAGTCGTATGGATAAATATTTAATAAAAACATTTATCTTAAAGCCACTGCATGGGCACTAAAATGCACAGGCACTAAAATATCTCCGTGTGTGTGCACACAAATATAGTACAACTTCAACTGTCATTTAGCCCTACGACTTTTGTTTTTTACATGTCAACAAACACATCGAAAAAGATTTCGCAAATCATCTAGTTTTCTTAATACTATAATCTTACCTGGCTTGACAAATGGTCTCCAGGGACCAGGTCTTGCATCATCACCCCGTCTGGAAATCCGATCATCATCCATATTTCTCCAAGGGCCCCGGTCTTCATCTGCACCTCGCCTGGAAATCCTATCATCATCAGCATTCCTCCAAGGTCCTCGGTCATCATCCAACCCTCGCCTGGGACCCCGGTCATCATCCATGCCCCTCCTGGGACCCCTGTCATCATCAGCATTACGCCAGGATGATCGTTCATCATCAGCACCTCGTCTTGGCCCCCGGTCCTCATCCAGCCCACGTCTAGGTCCTCTGTCCTCATCTGCTGTGCGCCAGCTTCCTCTGTCATCATCTAGTCCCCGTCTGGGTGGTCTGTCGTCATCTAGTCCCCGTCTGGGCGGTCTGTCGTCATCTGTGTGGCGCCAGCTTCCCCTGTCATCATCACCAATTCGCCTCGGAGGCCTGTCATCATCTGCATTACGCCAGGAAGGACGGTCATCATCTGCTCCTCTACGAGAAAATCTATCTTCATCAGGACCACGTCTAGGACCTCTGTCGTCATCTAGGCCACGCCTGGGGATGCGATCATCATCTGGTCTAAGAGAAGACTCTCTCTCTTCATCATCCCCCAAGCGCCTCAGCCGGTCCTCATCTCTCCTATGAGGCCTGTCATCATCCCGAGTTTCTCCTCGTCTCCACTCCCTAATGAGCAACAAGGTAGAAGGTTTAAAGCAGATTTTTTTTT